ATTGGTTGAATCAGTGCAGTGCAATTTGGGGGAAGAAACATCGCAGTGATGCATTTATCCTCAGTTGTTAGTTCTTCCTCAGATGAATGCCCGGGAGCGTTATCAAGAAGTAACAACGGTTTTTGAGGAAAATTATGATCTTTTAACCATTTTCTAACTTCAGGTACGAAGCATTCATCAAACCACTATTTAAAAAGATCTTTTGTCATCCATGCACCATCATCTTAAGCGCGTGTGTGCCCGCAGCGTTAGCACATGGTGGTATGGTTACACGCTCTTTACTCACTTTTCGTCCAGGTACGGATTTTTCGTTACAAGAAACGAAAGTTTTGTTAGGCATCACACGCCAAAAAAGCCCTGATTCGTCTGCATTGTACACCTGTGACGGGTCAAGATTTAAATCGTTCACCATTTGCAAAAATCTTAAGTTAAAGGGCTATATGCAGGTGGCATCGTTAGAAAGTTTCTCTCCTGTAATAGTCATTAAACGTATGCCATGACGACTTTTAAAACGTTCTAGCTACCCTTTGCTGGCCACAAAATCATCTTTTTTTGTTATTTCCTTATAAAAAACTTAGCTTTCATGGCCAACATGGGTCCAGAAATTGGTGCATGCCTATTTCTTTCCTGAAGAAACCACATGTACAAAGCTTCTTCCACTTCTGGATGTTCAGCTTTCTTGAGTGTCTGTCTCTTGCCTGGCCCGCAGTTAGTAGTTGACACGTACTTCTTGATCTTCTTGTGGTTTCTTCTAATGTCATAAATTGTAGATCGGCCTACGCCGTATTCACTTGCTAAACTACTGAAAGTTTCATTGCGATTTAAGCGGCCTAAAATATCACATTTTTCTTTAATTGTCAATGTTTTGTGCTTTCGCTTATGAGTTTGTGATGACATTACTAGGTACTATACTTAATACACAATGAATAAATAGTAAACAATGAACGCACGCTAGGCCGTACCGTATCACCACTAGTCAAATTCAAACTAAGTAAAACAATGCTTACGCGTCGAGCACGATAGCGGTGGCGCGAACAAGTTGTAACCTGTTCAAACCTGCGTGGTCTACATTAGCGAAGATTGACAAATACGTATGTATGTAATACATATTCAAAGACATGTCGGATTACAGGGGGCGCCGAATTAGACAGGGGCCGGATTATCGGGGGTCCACTATTTTTATTTTTACGAAAACAGTGCAGTCTAGGAAGAAACTTAAGAGTAATTATTTTTAGCAATTTGACGGTAACATTCGAAAAATTGCGCGTTTCGAAAAAAAAACAGTGTATTTTTATTTGGAAAAATAATGCCACTAATCCCCTGTATCTCCGCCACTGGTGCACGTTAATTTTGAGTAAACACTTTTGAATGTGAATAACACATACCAAATTTTAGTTCATTCCAGTTGACGGTTTTGAAGATAAAAAAAAAATATTATCATAGAAAGCCCTCATTAAAATGCAGGGTCCTGAGTATGTTTCATTTTTGGTCACGACTTGTGAATCACCCTATATAGAAAAAGCTACGAGAAGCAAACATTAGAAATTCTTGTCGTTGGGAAACATTAAAAATGTTAAACAAGTACTTTCATTAAAATGCAAACATACAAAAGAACGCATCTCCCAAGAAATGATGTCTGTGCATACATAAATGCGCAAATCTTGCCAAGACCACCTTGGACATTATTACGCTTTATTGGGCGTAATTTTTACCATATACAGTCGACATCTCCATACCAAATATGGCCTAAGTGCCGACTCACCGCACATGTCATTTCTCAAATTATATCCCTATATAAACATCAACCTCAATTTTTTACATATTCGCTTTCACATTGCCAATATAAACGTAATACGGTAGCACTAATTTTCCCATGTCTCCATTTTGTGGTGCAGATGTAACGTGAGAAAATAATTATTACGATTTTTGGATTAATCAATGGTTGAACAAAAAACATGCTGTATTCGAATAAGGAGTAGTGCATTAATCAAGTGTGTTGGGAGAACCTCAAATTTTTAGCACTGCGAGAAAAATTAAGAAAGTTGCTGAAACATACTTTGTAGTGTACAAAAAGCGACTGAGGTACGAATGACTAAGAAATTCGTAGATTTTGATTTTTTAATAGTTGTGTTCATGTTTTGATGAATGCAGTCAGCATTTTGGGCTACTTAGTAGACATCACTTTAAACGTAAAGGGAAGAAAATTCTATAACAAAAAGACAGCTGCTTTGAGTGGAAACACTTACGTATATGTAAGCAAAATTACATATTATTTTTTTTACTTGACATTTATGGTACAGCTAAAAATTTAAACCTAGCACATTACAGTCTACAGATTGTCGTACCTCTATACACTTAGTACGGCAATGTCGATGACAGGACAAAAACTTTGGCCCTAATGTAGCATTTCAAGTTCATCCCTAACTCAATCATTGCTTAAGGCCCCCCAGAGAGTATACTTCAATAGTTTTTTAAGCGTTTCTCCTAGTAATACAAATTTGACAAAGCCCTGGTCGAGCCGTGATGTTTTATAGAACCTTTTTACCACCTTCCCCGCTTTATAGGTGGCTAGGTTACATACACACTACCCCCTTCCTCCCTACCCAAAATCATGAGTATTTTTTGTACAATGCAACTTAAAACTTTTCAGAATATTATTTTTTGATACAGGTTGCAGGTTGTCTCGCACTAGGGTGGACCATCTAGTCAAAATTTAAACTAGCGGTTAGGTAGAAATCAAATGCTGAAATGATATTTTGTTGTGCCAGATACTTTCACAATGACGCTTGGAAAAAGTTGGGAAACACTGCTTGTGTCTATCCCGTAAAAAGACGCTACGGGAGCTGAGCTGCGCTTCTGAATTTTTTAACGTACATGTTAAATACAACATTTGTTCGGAAAAAGTAATTCTTCTGAATCCTCCAAAGTGCGCTTTTCTTCTCGTGCTCAAAACCTTGGGAATAAGAGTTCTGTCACTTGCCATTATCATCATTCATTGTTTGTTTATTTTATTTGGTTATCAAAAACAGCTCAAATCGGATAAATCGGTTATCTCGTATTCATAGGGTCTCATAATAAGTACGATGGTCGCAGAAAACGAGGTTAGAAATTAGTCAGCTGTCATGAAGTGTGATTACATGACTCCGTAATAATTTAAGCGTTTTAAAAATGAAGTTTCACTATATTCCAGAGTAAAATTTCATCTGTCTATCTACATTCCGTTACTGTGTACGGTATTACATTGCCAAGTCATTTACAAACGCACACCTGTTTGGCAATGTTTTGACACATCACATCGAGCATCGAGCTCACGTTATCTGCGATCTTCATCTACTTTTTGATACAACATCATAAATACTAAGTATACTTTGATTTTCCATGTTTTTTTTTAAGTTCAAACAATTTTAAAAACATACGACCGAATATAAAAAGGTATTAACCTAGTCTATCTGTACAACGTTTATACTTGACATCTCCATATATGCATGCGGTCCTTGGGCCCCTAATTCTCATCTGTCTTCCCTTGAGCTGAATAGCTAAAACAGCAATAATCCTAACACAGTTAACCTGAATATGGGCGTCAGTTGCTTTCAAAAGTAGCTGAGACAACGGTGTCGTCTAACGCTAAATGTCAGAATATGGCCAGCCGCTCATGGTACTTTCTTGGTAATAGACGCAAGCATTGAAAACTCACTTCAATCCAAACTAGAAAGTTTACGTGGAAGGTTTGATATACGAAACTCACCATCAATTGAATTTCTCAGTGCGTGAGACTAGATCATTTTCTTATACCAAAGCTGCCTCACAGGCAGAAGCCTAAATACCAGAGCATCGCGCCTGCTATGACGAGCTTAAAACAACTTTGTTTATCCAATTTTTGAACTGTCATGGAATTAGAAGCGGGAAAATCGGTCCAGTGGCGACGCAGCTAGGAACCAAAACACGGACAAAATAAAAATCCACCAATCTACGTTGACGTTTTAGAGACAACTGATCATTCTCGGAAAGAATTTTGTAGGGGCTGAAAATCGGGGTTGGGAGTTGCCGTTTCCAACCCCAGTAATTTTACAATACATATTTCACACATCAAAGATTTCTCCGTACATTTGGCCTTATAACTATACAGCCTTGGCCAGAAGTATTGAGCACCCTAAAAATATTGTAAGGACGCTATAATGATAGATGAAAAGAAAAACTGAAGGTTACAAAAATATTTGTAGGTATCCAGATCGGTTTGTAAACAATACCATATCTGCTTACTATCGCTAAGACGTCTAGTTTTTTAGAGATTACTCAGTTTTACCTTTTCAGTGCGAATGTATCATTTCGTTTCTATCGTTCGTTGTGATCAATTCAGTGATTTAGTGAGACTTTGATAATTTTATTTCGAGAATTTAACTAATACTCTCGCAATATGGCAAACAAGAATGAAGTGAGCATTGAAAAACGTGTGAAAATACAGGTTCTTCATGAACAAGGGAAGTCCCAAGTAGACATTGCGAAAACAGTGAAGTGTTCGCATCGATGTGTACAATACACTATTCAGCGATTCGCTCGGACCGGTTCACTTAACGATAGACCTAGAAGAGGCCGCAAACGCATCGCCACAGATCGTGAAGACAGAGTATTGACCAGAGAGTCTTTGAAAAAGAGGAAAAAAACTTCTATTGTCCTCGCTGCCGAGCTATCAGCGCAGACTAATAGACCAATTTCTACCCGAACTACTCGCAGAAAGCTTCAAGAAGCTGGTCTAAATGGCCGCAAAGCCGGAAAGAAGCCATGGCTCTCAGACAAAAACAAGAAGGCTCGGTATGATTGGACTTTAAAATACAAAAACTCCACTGAAGAGGATTGGTCAAATATTGTATGGTCAGACGAATCAAACTTTGAGGTACGTTAGTTGATTTGATGCAGTAACGAGATGTAACAATAATTTTTGAAACAAATTGTATCAATAAATTATTCAACTAACCAACTACTTAATATTTCTTAATTTTTCAGATTTTTGCTACACCTAGTGTGACATTTGTTCGTCGTCGAGTAGGAGAAGAATTCAATCAGGAGTGTGTGGTGCCTACTTTGAAACATGGTGGCGGCAGCGTAATGGTCTGGGGCTGCATGAGTCGGAAAAATGTCCGTGTGTGAGGGTCGCATGGATTCCACAAAGTACATAAACGTACTTGCATGTGCTCTTTTGCCGTCGTTTACCGCACTTTATGGTGATACCAACATGAATGGTGTCAAATTCCAGCAAGATAATGCGCCTTGCCACAAAGCTGCACGGACAAAAAGGCTTGGTTCAGAGAAAACTGTATCGAGCTTCTGGGTTGGCCTGCCCAGTCACAAGACCTGAGTCCGATTGAACATTTGTGTAACTTATTAAAACGCATGATCAGGCGTCACACAATCAACACAGAAGAAGAGTTAAAGCGCCGCCTACGTGAAGAATGGAACGCTTTAACTTACGAAGAATGTAATAAACTTGCACGATCTTTACCTAGAAGAATTTCTGCTGTACTTAAGGTGAAAGGAGGTCCCACAAAATATTGATTTTCTTCTCATAATAAGACATTTATGTCAATTTATTCCAATATAATAGTCCCCTAAAATTGAAAGATATCGAGGGTGCTCAATACTTTTGGCCAAGGCTGTATTTATAAACAAGACACTCGGTCGATGCAAATTTCAAACTTGGACAGCCTCGGAAATAGTTGCCTGGTAAATGCAAGTCAAGGTCATGGGCAGTCGAGGTCATGGGCCCTACACCCCTTTCCCATTGTGATACTTTGTGATTTTTAACGAATACCCCCTCCCCCTCGGATTGTCCTGGCTGGACTAGGAACACTTTGCACTAGGATAAATAATTTCCTTGGACACCTATTCGAATCTAACGATCTTTGCTTCTGAACTTCTGATTTGCAGCCACTGGGATAGAAAATATTGGTGAGCCTCTCGGTCTAAACGTTTTGGTCAACTGGGTGTTTTATTTTTTAAAAAGCAATGTGTGTAATTGTGTCAGTCTACCTGGCTCCATATTTTCTCAATATCAAGCCGACCTACTTAAGAACACGAATACTTGATTGATGTTCGTCTCAATGATGCTGTTGTAGCGAACGAAAGCCGGCAAACATGTAAGCAATCCGATCGCCAATTTTGGAAAAAAGAAATTCCGCGTGATTACATGCATGTACAGAAAGAGATACGACCACGAGACTTTATTAATTACATTTTTCTTTTGGCGGCGAGATATACTCCAGTTTCACACGTGTTAAAAACGTCGAAGTTGGATGTCATCAGTCCTTTTTAGGATATGTGGTGGTGTAATTACAATGTAATGGTTGAGACCCGATTGTACGAGCGTTTCCTTTCTTAAGGCCCGATTTTGCTAAGACGCAAAATTCAACCTAATGAATATGGTTGATTTCTTGTAAAATGCCTCTTAAACAAGAAAAAAATGATACGGTTTGTGTAAGATGGGGGCCTCTAAGTGTCATATTGAATTAAGAAATGAATCACCTATGCAAAAGAATCATTTGCGCCATCCTCCAAGGATGAATACAAATCTGATATAATAAAGGGTTGTTCAAAACGGACGCAGGAAAGTAAACGCATATTAAAACAAGAAAGATTGATATTCAAATCAAGTTAGGTACTTTATTTTGAAGGTTCATTTATACCATTTATGTATGAAAAATAATATCGCTCAAATTTTCGCCACGACTGGATTTACAGACGTCCACGCGATGGTCGAAATTTTCAATGACATTTTGCAACATGGTTGGTTCTATGGCATTTATCTCGGCAATGATGCTGTTTTTGAGTTCTTGGAGGGTGGCTGGTTTGTTGACGTAGACTTTGCTTTTTAAAAATCCCCATAAAAAGAAGTCCAAGGGAGTCAAATCGCACGATCTTGGTGGCCATGGCACATTTCCTCTGCGCGAAATCACGCGATCACCGAAGAAGGACTGCAATCGATGGATATTGACGTTGGTTGTGTGGCATGTTGCACCGTCTTGTTGGAAATAAACATCGTTCATATCCATTCCTTCAAGTTGCGGCAAAAAATAGTCCTCTATCATCACATGATATCGCTCAGAATTGACGGTAACGACGTCCCCGGCCGCATTTTCGAAAAAGTAAGGTCCGATGATGCCTTTTGACCACAATCCACACCACACAGTCACTTTTTGAGGATGCATCGGCTGCTCTTGATATTCACGGGGATTTTCGTTCGCCCAGATGCGGCAGTTTTGCTTGTTTACCGTCCCATTCAAAGTGAAATGCGCTTCGTCGCTGAACATGATTTTTGATGAAAAATTGGCATCAATTTGGCGGTGTTCAAGGAGCCAATCTGAGAACGTTCGGCGCGAAAAATGGTCGGCCCGACGCAGCTCTTGCATCAATTGGATCTTGTAGGCGTGTACATTCTAATCCTTGTGGAGAATGCGGAAAACTGGTTCTCGAAATGCCCAATTCTTGGGATCGACGCGTTGTTGATCGTTTCGGATCGTCTCTCACACTCTCCTTCACAACAGCGATATTTTCCGGTGTGCGAACGCTCCTTGGCCGGCCAGAGCCTGGCAGATTTGCCACAGAACCTGTTGCCTCGAATTTACGCACCAGACGACCGATGGTTGTTTCGTTTGGGCGGTTGTTGCGACCGAAATGTCCACGAAGCGCGCGAAACGTGTTTTTTATTTTTGCACCATTTTTGTAGTGCTCTTGAATAACTTTAATGCGGTCTTCAATCGAATACGACTCCATAGCGATCAATGGTAAACATTCAACTAACAAAATGACATGTCGGTGACAGAAAACAAAGATGGCGTCTATGTCAAATTGACGTTTACTTTCCTGCGTCCCTATTGGACAACCCTTTATTTAGATTGATATGAGAGCAATTAAATTTGCGTTTTATTAAAAATAACAGTGTCTCGCTGTTTCCGTACAAAATTCCGCTTGACAAATTCTTCGAGGATATAAATAAAATTGTAAATATTCAATTTACTTGACTACCGAGCGAAAAATCCTGTTCCTTAAGCCAGCCCTGTTAACAGAGCGTTCTAGCGCCCTCTCTTGGGCAGTAGGACGACTAATTATTTTAGCCTTGCCACAGTGACCGCGGCGAGGCGCAAGGTTTTTCGCATTTAAGCATTCTGTAATTTTATGTATGTCTTCAAGCAATTTATTAAGCAGTATTTTGTACAGCAACAGTGAGACACTGTTATTTTCAGTAAGTTTTGATTGATGGAATTTGGATCAACTTTTTTGTCTGATCACAAATGAATGATATATGAAATATTTCTCGATTTAATGAGAATTATGAGCCCATCTTAGACACAAATCGTATAATTTTTCTCTAGTTTGACATTTTAGAAGAAATCGACCAAATTCATTATATCCGTTACTTCAAAGACGCCTACTCACTGGACCAATTTGTGCCAAAAGTGCAATTTTGATTGCCGCGAGTGAATAGTAAAATCGGGCCTAAGAGTCACATTTATACACTAAATGCACAAAATGCTAAACGGATACGCTCAGAATTTTTTGTTTGTCATTTGACAGCCTGTGATAACAGTTACATCCTCAAGCGGCACTCACTTGCTAAGGAAGGTTTATGAATGCTAAGGCCCTCTTACAGTAAGGATGCCTTATTTGGTTCGACAGTCTTGACACAAGTGACAAGAGTTATCAAATAGAGCAATACTGCCTTGCATAGCCGCTGAGGATTCCTCAAGAAACCTAGGAGCGTTTTAGGTCAAAACCGTCAAATTAGTAATATATAACAATACATAATAAGGACTTAGATCTCTTCTTCGTTTTTTGACAAATCCTTTGTTACTCAAATGACCTGACAATTTATGCTTGCTTAGAAAAATAATGAGGTCTCGATGTACGACCACGCATTCGGCCTTAAGTGAGAGGAATTATGAAAGGTTGGTTGAATTTCAGAGTCATCATCAGTTTTTTTTAATGTTATTTTATCAAAATTAGAACAAACACTTCAGTAAAGCGTGGTATACCAAATGCTTGAGGCCATATCATCAACAATTACTCCGAAGAATCACAAACAGAAATAGCCAAAACAGAAGCTGTCACTGCTTGTTAGCTCTTGGGATTTATTATTAACATCAATGAAATCAGCATCGCAAATGCAAACTAGGTCGCAAAAGATAATTCGGGAGATGACTAATTTCGATTTAGCAAATTGACTCAATAAGAACTGCTTTAACGAGACGTTTCAAACTTCTGGAACAACGATTTATATAGAGTGAACTAACAGGGCGTCTGCTCTTCAATACAACTCGATCGAGCATATGTATTTACCGCTTTGTTCCTAAGCTATCAAAAATTTGAAACGATCTGCTAGAGGTGGCCTTTTTATTATAAAGCAGCCGCGTGTAGGTAAAAACCTAAATACCAGGACTCTGTGACTGTTATAAGGAGCTTGTTAGACCGATTTTCTGCCTAAGATTTTCAGAACTGGGAAAAGCCCGCTCAGGCCACAACCTCGACAACGTGAACAAAGGAGCGGTCATACCGGTCAGTTCTGGATGTACAAAGTTCGACAGAGTTAGCATGAGAGGCAGAAGTCTGACAGATCCGTTTGGTAGGCCAAAAGCGCGGCGGCATCATGGGGCAGAGCTCTGAGGGGCAAAGCCCATTAAAATAGAGGTAAAAGTCTCATTGACCAGTCGGACAACTCTTCTCTGAATAGCATCGAGTATAGACAATGTAGTCAAGATCACAGCACCCCAAACGTGTGAGCAGTACTCGGACTGGGTTTTTCAGGACCTTGTCCAGAGTGAGACTTTTTCAACAAATAACTGCAATTATTGCGACTAACAATTTACAAATCAAGTCACCGGTGATCTGAACTCCGACCATCCGAAGCGAATGACTCTTTCGCAGAAATTGGCCGGCCTTCAAAAGCGGATGGCTGGATGGCGTTTCTTGTTAGTCAAAGTACAGTATTTCGGAATCTTTAAACTGTACCAGCTTATTGCGACCCCGAGCCGTGATTCAAATCTTTTGTCAGAGAGGAAGTTGCTGTCATCTGCAAAGCTGAGGATGGAATTGATCGACTTCCGTAATTCTAATAAGCTTGGGTAGTTCAAATAGACAATCTACAAAGTTATTATAGCAATAACTACCGCACCTACTCTCTTGAGATTTTTCATACTCAACACGATTTTAGTACTATACTAAGTGATATATAAATCCGAACACCCAGTTTAAATGGTTTTATTTTAATAAAATTTTGTATAAGTACTTAATGAAGCATAATAAGTAAATGATAAAAATTTCAAAATTATTGCACTGCTTTAAAGCCCTTTGACCTTTAATAATGTGTGGATGCACCCTGATGTGCTACGCATTCTCCAACGCGCCTAGGCATGCTTCTGATCAGGTGGTCAATGTCCTCCTGTGGTATCTCATTCCAGGCAACCACCAACTCCTCTCGAAGTGCTTCTAGAGTCTGAGGAGGACGTTGCAAATTGAGCAATCTCCTACCCATCATA